GCAAAGCCACCAGAGTGGGGGAGATATGTTGATGTTTTCTCACCCCAGTAAGAAGTCTGGCTGCTGCATTCTGCACCATTTGAAGCTTCCACATCAATCTCAAAGGTAGCCCCACACAGAGCGCATTAAAGTACTCTAGTCTCGATACAAGCGCATGGACCAGAGGGTGAGGGACCCAGCATCAAGATAGGGATACAGCTGGGCGATCTACCATAGACGGAAGTAGGTGGTATGGACCACTGACACTACCTGGGTTTCCATGGTAAGTGCTGAAACAAGATGTACCCCCAAGCTGTGGACCTCAGTCTTCATGGTGAGAGTTATCCCCCCAAAAGTGAGGGAATTTCCCAAACCACCAATGTCTGGGACACCCACCCTCAGGACCTCCATCTTGTCCGGGTTCAGCCTCAGACCATTCGCCTGCATCCATCCCAGTACGGCATCCAGACAGTGCTGAAGGGATGGAATGGCATCCACTGTTGTAGGGAAAAAGGAGATGTAGAGCTGGGTGTCATCAGCATACTGCTGACAGGAAACCCCACACCCCCTGATGTCCTGACCCAGCGGCCTCATGTAGATATTAAACAGTATTGGGGAGATAATCTAGCCCTGCGGAACCCCACAATTGAGATTCCACGGAGCTGATACACTGTTCCCCAAGTTGTATTCTCTGGGGATGGTCCTCCAAGAAGGATTGGAGCCAGGCTAATGCCAGACCACCAATTCCCAGCTTGGAGAGCCTCCCAGGAGGATACCATGGCCGACAGTATTGAAGGCGGCTGAGATATCGAGAAGGACCAACAGAGACATTTTGCCCCTGTCGGCCTTCTTCAGGAGGTCATCAAACAGGGCGACCAATGCCGTTTCTGTACCGTGGCTGAAGCCAGACTGAAATGGATCCAGGGTGTTGGTTTCATCCAGAGGGGCCTGAACAGCAACAACAATAGCATACATACTGTGCTGATATTTAACAGATACTTAGGTTAAAATTTGTATATATTATATAATACCAGTCAATGCTTTTACAATTTTGACTGTGCCTGATGTTTTTGAATAACAACAACACTCTACATCTGCAAGTTTGGAATAGACCCTATGGGTCATCAAGTCGAGCCGCTGACAAGGAGGCATAAAGGGGAATTGAACTCCCAATCTCCAGCTTTGCAGCCAGAGACCTAAACCATTGAGCTATCCAGCACATACCTGGGGATTACATTTGTGCAAGGCCGCCAGAGTGGGGGAGATATGTTGATGTTTTCTCACCCCAGTAAGAAGTCTGGCTGCTGCATTCTGCACCATTTGAAGTTTCCACAGTACTGTAATCTCAAAGGTAGCCCCACACAGAGCGCATTATAGTTCTCTAGTCTGACCACCTTGAATTTTACAGTATGGTCTCAATACTGTCCATAGTGTTTCTGCCTACAAACAAACATTTGGACATATTTTTATATTCATTTATTCATCTAATTTTTATCCCACATTTCAAAAAATTCAGGACAGCATATGTGGTTTTTTTTCCTTAGTTTTACTATCACTATGATGCTATAAGTTCTATGAAACTGGAACTACGCTGGCCCAAAGCCATTCAGTGGCTTCAGGTTGAATATGGATTTGATCCTGGGCCTGCTGAGTAATGTAACCACTTTACCACACTGGCTCCCACTTAAAATCCAATTTTACAACTGAATGTGCTGTACACCTTTATCATTGTAATTTACATGAAATTGATACAGCGACACATACTGAAGACCGATAATCTAGTGTATCATTAGATCTAACCATCACTATTCCACAAGTCTGGAGCACAGGGAGAGACAGGAAGCAAAGCTCTGCAGACAGATCAGCTTCATTAAGCTCCTCCCTTTCTCAAAGATCACCAAGCAACACAGGTACACACACCCTCAGGCTGCAGCTGAGGAAGAGGGCAGCAGGGCTCACTTGAAAAGTCCTGCTCATTGACCAGGCTCTTCCTGAATTGTTTTAAAGCTGGTCCTAGAAACTTTGCAATTTTTAAGACCTCATGCTTGACAGTGTTTTCCTCTTTTGTGAGGAGTTGCTGTTTTTGTTGTTATTTAAGATGATAAACCTTAGGGCAGGAACTGTTCTGTTGCTGATTCCTATTGATCTTACACCAACCATTCTTGGAGTCTTTTCAGTTGTAGAGCAGAGTAAAAATGCTTTAAATAAATAATCATATCTTCTTAGAGATTGTCTGCTTACCTGTTTGTGATGGAGAAGAAAGCAAGCTATGAGAAATGAAAATAAAACCAGCGCCAAGATGACCAAACATGCCACAAGCCACAGGGTGATCATCAAAGTCTTTCTAGGTTTATTGGCCTCACGGTGAAGGTGTGCCCCTTCTTTCCAATCTAGCCCTTCCATATTGCAGGAGCTCACAACAGAGCAAGACTGAACTCCCTTCTTCACAAAATTGTAGCCTTGGCCATGGAAAAGATATTTATACGCTTGGAAATTAACTTATTTAAAAAGGGTGGAGTTTTCATTTCATCATGCTCTCAGCAAAGGAAGATGGCAGAAGGCCAAAAAAGAAAAAGCGAGAGTGATGTAATGGAGCGGAACTCTCCTTTAGCTTTTTTTACAGCCGTTGTGAAATGAAACTGCCCTCAGTCCACAAAGCAGGAACATTCACATAACATATCGCCTAACTGGCAAAATTGTAGTGACTCAATAAAATATATTACTCAGTCCAGAATGTTGTTGTATTTATGAAGTCCCGTTGTTTTTTTAAGTGTGCTACAGAATCAGTTACAGCACCCTACAGTGCATGGCCTCATTTGTAACTAAAAGTTGCAAATCAGCTATTTCTGTCTCCTGAACAAAGTGCTTTGTGAAACTATTTGTTTGTTTGTTTATAATTATTTACCCTGCCTTTCCTCTTCAAAATGACCAAAGTTGGTTTACATAATTAAAATACTTTATTTACAAGCTAAAAACAGTAAGTACACAGCTGGGCGATCTACCATAGACGGAAGTAGGTGGTATGGACCACTGACACTACCTGGGTTTCCATGGTAAGTGCTGAAACAAGATGTACCCCCAAGCTGTGGACCTCAGTCTTCATGGTGAGAGTTATCCCCCCAAAAGTGAGGGAATTTCCCAAACCACCAATGTCTGGGACACCCACCCTCAGGACCTCCATCTTGTCCGGGTTCAGCCTCAGACCATTCGCCTGCATCCATCCCAGTACGGCATCCAGACAGTGCTGAAGGGATGGAATGGCATCCACTGTTGTAGGGAAAAAGGAGATGTAGAGCTGGGTGTCATCAGCATACTGCTGACAGGAAACCCCACACCCCCTGATGTCCTGACCCAGCGGCCTCATGTAGATATTAAACAGTATTGGGGAGATAATCTAGCCCTGCGGAACCCCACAATTGAGATTCCACGGAGCTGATACACTGTTCCCCAAGTTGTATTCTCTGGGGATGGTCCTCCAAGAAGGATTGGAGCCAGGCTAATGCCAGACCACCAATTCCCAGCTTGGAGAGCCTCCCAGGAGGATACCATGGCCGACAGTATTGAAGGCGGCTGAGATATCGAGAAGGACCAACAGAGACATTTTGCCCCTGTCGGCCTTCTTCAGGAGGTCATCAAACAGGGCGACCAATGCCGTTTCTGTACCGTGGCTGAAGCCAGACTGAAATGGATCCAGGGTGTTGGTTTCATCCAGAGGGGCCTGAACAGCAACAACAATAGCATACATACTGTGCTGATATTTAACAGATACTTAGGTTAAAATTTGTATATATTATATAATACCAGTCAATGCTTTTACAATTTTGACTGTGCCTGATGTTTTTGAATAACAACAACACTCTACATCTGCAAGTTTGGAATAGACCCTATGGGTCATCAAGTCGAGCCGCTGACAAGGAGGCATAAAGGGGAATTGAACTCCCAATCTCCAGCTTTGCAGCCAGAGACCTAAACCATTGAGCTATCCAGCACATACCTGGGGATTACATTTGTAGTTTTAGAAAATAGTACAGTAATAGGCATGTGGAACAATTTTCAATGGGCCCACAGAACCAAAGGAGGTTTAATCATTTCCTTCCCTTACATGATCCCAATTAAAATTCACTCCATCATATGCTTGCTACTGATGTTCAGTGCAGGAGATAAATCTGACCACCTTGAATTTTACAGTATGCTCTCAATACATGCCATAGTGTTTCTGCCTACAAACAAACATTTGGACATATTTTTATATTCATTCATTCATCTAATTTTTATCCCACATTTCAAAAAATTCAGGACGGCATATGTGGTTTTCCCCC